GTAATCGAGATACGTCGCCTTGATTACATCGTGTGACTAGATCAGGTATAGGAATTTGTAAATCGCTTCCAAAATGACTAGACGTGCTAATTAATTGTTCTAATTTCGCGAAATATACACCCTATACCGTATATGCACTTGTCGAATGCGTACGCTCGTACCTCTCCGTTGTTATTGTGCACGGATTAAAAGTAGACGTGCACGTACGTGTATACGTAATTCACGTTTGTGTCGTTCGCACGCGAAATGCACTTAGCTTACGACGTTCTTAATATAATCAATAATATATATCATTGAACAATATATATATATATTGTATATATACTTTGCATACTTTTGTTTGGTTTATGGGTAAAATTTTGATTTTGCGCTCAATTACGTTACGAAGGCAATGCTGATTTTGGGCATGCGAGCCGTTGAGATTCCTCTCGGAACTTCGTTACAATCTCCTCCTGCTCCTCGTCTTCGACATGCGTCGACATTCGTGGTTAACTGATTACAATTAGCGATCGTCCGGAATTCCATCAAATTATAAATCTAGACCACAGGGAAACAATTTAATTGCACACCAATATCGATGTGAACGATGCTACTTTTCACCTTCTCATAACGAAGAATGATCGTTTTGCACAAATAATTCTTTGGTGCTCGACAAAGAGGGGGAGCAGCCACGTTTCTATTCGGGAGAATTCAATGGTGTTTTTCCTTAAATTCAAAATATCCCAACAGATTGATCGTAAGCAGTATTGTTAATAAAAATATTTGTCCGACAATCGTCATTGTCGCGAGATTATTTCCCCAATGATATCTCGATCTGTCGATAGATATCCTTTTTTAATATTTTACATATACTCGTATAGTATCCAGTGACCGTTGTACCTCTCGCATCGTAGCACCAAAGATCTTCGTATCCGTCACGATCGTTCGCTGTTATCCGGAAATGGTTGCAGCCACGCGCGCGAAACCACCGGCGTCGCCCGGATTTTTGTCATCCACCCCTCTGCGCGTGGCCTCTCCTCCTCGCGATAATAATTAATATCGGCATCCCCGGCGCGTAACGCGTCGCGCACGGGCCATTAAGTGCACAATACGCGTATCTGCATGGGACACAATTAAGAGCGGGGTCGAGGTAGAGCCGTTTTGCATGGACGTGCGGCGTTTCGCGTGTCACCGCGCGCGTCGCGCACGTGGGGCAGGAAAAATAGGCGAAGCCGGGGTAAAAAGGGGGTAGGAGCGGGGGAAGGCCGGGACACGCAGCGTCCCTCTCCCCCCGTCTTCCCATCCCGGATCGTTTGGTTCTCGGACTTTTTCGGAAAAATCCCCGCCAAGGTCGCGACCTCCTTCCTCCACTTTGACCTTCTCGTCAGAGGGGGGGGGACCAGATGGCGGGGGCCCGTTTGTCCGGGCCCGTCTCGCCGGCGCGGACAATGCCGGCTAAAAATTCGTTTTCCCCAACGAAAATCGCTCCTTCTCCCTCTGTCCGGCGACCGCTTCCACCTTCTTTCTCTTCCAACTCTCTCTCTTTCTCTCTCTATCTCATTCCTACTCCCTCGATGGATTTGCGTAATGGCCGATCTCCTCCCGTCTCCCCTAAGTCATGTTAATGCACTCGTGCGCGCATACTAATTCATACGAATTTTCGGCAACGGCCGGCATCGGTGTGCGCCCCGTTAAATGACGCGGTTCTCGAATTTCAGCTGCGCGCGCGCTCGCGGGGAAAAACTTTTATGGGCCCTGAGACAAAAACCGGCTCGTGCCATGGAAATCGTCCTGGAATAAATCATTGCCGCCTCGGCCGTCGAATTCACATTACCAGAACGCCGAATGTTGCATTTCACTGGGAACCGACGTGTCTACTCGATCGCGTTATTTATCGTCTCTCGACAGCAGTTTTACGGGACGTAATTTATTTTCTCGCACACACATTGTTCATCAAGCTAAATTTTCAGACTTTTAGCGCGCAATCGCAAAGCCAATTACCGCGATTATTTGTCAATTAAACAGCTCCGCATCTGTGCAATTTTTTAAAACACCTAAATATAGTTTTCTTTACATGTAAAGTATATCTGCAGATATATGTAAATTAATCGACACATCCGAGATATCTTGTTCACTAGACAGGACATATCCTTTCCGTCATTATGTTGCTCTGTGACGTTATGTTTGCTTCGGGAAGATTTTCAAATGGTCCAATTAGGGGATGAAATCTGCAGAGACTTTTCCAATAATTTCTGGATAAAAAGTTATTTGCACTCCACACAAATATCGCTCGGTAAGTAAAGAGAGCGTGATTGGGCTGCGTAAGCAGAGTTATTATTTTACGATAGAGCAAGGGCAACGTCGTGTGGGCGGAAATGCATCGTGCATGTTTGTTCATTGTGGAGGGATGGGCGCACCGGTCTGCTGCGAGAAACGTGTTTGGGAAGCTAGGCCTGAACGGCTGCACGCCCGGTAATCGAGAATGTGGTCATTGCGACAACAGCTGTCCCTTCGAGCATTTCAATCGAACACGAGCGCTGGCGAAGAGATCGTCCAAACTTTTTCGCGCGCTCGAAACAATTCAATGGGTACTTTCCAATTGCTCCTTTTAACACAAATAAGAAGGCACAAAGTGTAGCGTGGTGTATTACTCAATTGGGACAAAGTGCGTATACCACAGAGAGTTATACACAAAGTAGAAACGTCGTGTTATCAATTATCTCAATTAGTTCTGTCGGTATTCAGTAACGCAAAGATAATTTTCACTTAAGAGGCACTAACTGAAAAGGTCAAAATTTTTCCCAGAGTAGACTTACGAATAATCCAACTAATTCGATTACTAATTGTGGGCCCCAAAATGGGTTACTGTCTTTTTTTCCCCCAGAGCAATTGGAACGCAATTTGCGCCGCCATGTGCACAAAAGTGTCTAGAGATATTGCGATTGGAAAGCACCCTATGAGATCTTTCGATGTTCCACTTGACACTTCCAGTCTTTTCTCCTCGGACATTTTTAGAGATGGGCGACAATCTAAGGTCATCTTTGCGGAAACCGTTAAAATGTGTATTGCGCGACATAAAACGGCCATATCTCTAATGGATATCGAGACAAGTATTTATGGGACATTTCCGTGAAAGAACTTCGCGACTTATTCTCGAGGGAAAAAAATGTCGCGGTCGCGCCATTAGCGAGGAAGGAGATCGGCTATTACGCGATCGAGAAAGAGAGAGAGAGAACACACCCGACAGAAAGCACACTTATTATAATCGTAACAGCGGCCCGTTACATTCGGATATATCTTATCGAGACCTGCGTGATAACGAGGAAGTTCGCGGGTGACGCGTTTCTCAAGCTGCAAAGGCACGAGGTTCGAAACAGCTTTCAAGGAGGAACTTTTATCTCGGACTCGACGTCCGCGGCGTTTACCGAGACTAGACTAGATAACTCTTAGTTAAGTAATCCGAGTTGTGCTATATAGCTCTCGTGTACGTAGCTCATACATATATAAATCGGGGGCCGTTCGTCGAGTATTCGAGTGGATCGAGCTTGGTCGTTTCGCGACCCCCTCGCCCGAGACGCCCGGACGGGGGGCCGATAGTTATATTGATATATCCGCGGAACATTTACGAGACGCGCGCTACGTCTCATCATTATAAGTTAAAAAGTTTATTTAAAGTCTATGTAATGCGTTGGCTGTGTATACGATTGTACTTTTTGTTGCGGGTTATACTGTGTCCACCCCTGAGTTGGTTGGCGATTCTCTCTGCACATTGATACCCCAATACCTCCGTTACCATTGTATCACGCTCTCGCCCTCTCGGCTACACGCGTCGCGACGGCGATTAGCGATCGAGTCTAATTAGCGCCGCCCGACGTTTCTCGGAGTCTAGCGTATTCTATGTGTGTATGATAAATACCTCTCTAAATCTTCCTTATCTCTTCTTATTCACGTAATTTATATTTATATATATATATTTATATATAAAATATTGACTAGAACAGTCGCGAAAAGAATAGTTGATAAAAGACGATGAATGGAATTTTATGCCAATCGACCGATCGCGCTCGATCTTACGCGCCAATTCTTTCTTCTTTCTTGGTTCACTTGAGCAGAAGCAAAACCGATATGCTGAAGAGAAACGGACGAAATAAAATGCGGAGCGAAGAGAATGTAGGCCCCCCGAGGAGCCTGTCGCGTTTAAAATAGGAACTTTGTCAATCACCCGTTCGTATTTTAATTAGTTACAATTAAGTATTTACAAGAATATATAACGAGTATGTTCCCTATACTTAGAACAATAATAACAATCTCGTCTCGTTATTTTTCTCGGAAGGTCTGCCCTTCCGTAGGAGATCGTTTCGGTCTGCTGAATTCGTCGCCCTCGAGAACCATGTCGAAATGAAATACGTGTAAACGAGCCCTACTCCTTGTTGCTTCAGGACGATCTCCCTGTATTTCGAGTGTACGAGTCGATGATGTGTCACGAAAAAAAGAAAAAAAAAACGATCTCGCGTCGTGGCAACTAGCGTTTTCGAACGGAACACCGCCAGGTGAGATTATTCCCTTACAAAGATACTAATGCACAGTGAAATTAGATTTTGAATTGACTAATGTCTAAGAAAACGATTTGAAAACTTGTTCCTATTTATAACGATAATTCTCTCAAACGTTGAATGGCATCAAAATTATTTTCCGCACGATGCAAAGTTAGCTTCGAGGGTAGAGAATGATCTCGCCTGTCTGGTATCGCGCTCTACTTTTACTTTGTTCTATAAATTCGCAGCATGGAATCAGAGGACTCACTTAATCGATAATAGGAAAGCCTGCAAAAATCGCTAAAGATACGTAAAAATTAATGGAACGTCAAAGTTATTATAGTGCAAATAACACTTGCCGTCTGGCTGCTCGTCTTACACGATAAATAGGAACCGATACCACGTGCTCAGGTCGCAGATGCAGATGCTGCCGCTCTCGTATTCTTTCGAGATGCAGACGCGACGTAATACGATCGCGATCTAATCTCAGGCTGGGGTGAGAGTGAAAGAGGCGGTCAGGGCGTTGCTGATTCTGGACTTGACCGGCAAGTAGATCAGAGCCGGCGCGAATCTCTTCGCCGAGCTGGACTCGGCGCCCACCTGCATCAAATCTTGCTCCTCGATCAGAAACGGCTGCATGATGGTCTTGTCGGGGTTTGGGTCCTGCGGCATCGCGTAGCAGGCCGGCATCTTCTGCTTGTTCGCCACGTCCTTCAGGGTCTTGCTGAGCTCGGCGATCACGCTCTCCGTCGGATCGCCCGACGCCTTGTGATCCTTCCGCACGTGCTTCTTAATGCGATTCAGATTCGTCGTCGCGTAGCCGCACTGGGCGCACTTGTACACACCCTGGGGCGTCACCTGCACCGCGGTCTCATCCTGCCGCTGATTTTTCACGGGCTCGGGGACGTTCCGATCGGTCTGCGGACTGCATCCCACACGGTCACTTTTCGTATCCTGATCAGCTCTGTCATTGACGTCGCTTGTTTGCACGTCGATGTCCAATCTAAAATTATGTACGAGAGGTTGCTGGAATTGCGACAACAGAGAGGGTAACTGATGGTTGGTGAGCAGATGCTGATAGAGCAGCTCCGGCTGATGGAAGTCGTGCGAGCAGATCGGGCACTGCTGCGCTCGATCCCCCTCGAGGTTTTCCTGAGAGCTCACGTGGGTTCGCTCGTGAAGAAAGAGGAGGGGCATCGCGGGGGTTGTGTAAGTACAATGCGCGCACTGAAAATTCTTCAATTGATTTTCCTCGGACGAGGAACCGAGGAAATTGGACAGCATCTGATTTCCCACACACGTGTAATCAACAGGCTTGGTCTGTTGGACGACCTCGAAGCCATTGGGGATCTTGAGATTCGACGTTTGCTGCGCGTTCTTCGCCGCAGCGACGCCTCTACCGCTGGTTCTGGACGTCGCTTGATACTGCTGCTCCAATTCGCGCCACTTGTCGATCCCTGCTTTGCCGTGGTCGCCCATCAGGTGGGCCTTCAGCCACTTGATGCTGCGGAACCTTCGACTGCAGATCGGACACACTTCGGTGAAATTGGTGAAGTATTTGAGACTGAGATCGCCCAGTTGCTCCGGTTTCAACGCCGAGTCCTCGGCGCCGGGAGCGTCAGAGGACTCATGCTTGTTCGACGCCGATCCCGACGACGCGTTCTCGTCGACGATCCCGTGAGTGTTGTGCTTGTGAACACGCAGGAAGTACTTGCTGCACAGCTCCTTGTTGCAAATGTTGCAGATGACGCCACCGATCTGTGCGCCGTTTTCGATCTCGATGCCGTGCATCCGCTGCATGTGCGTCTTCATGAAATATTTGTTGCACAGCTCCTTGTTGCAGATCTCACAATAACTCGACGTGGGGGTCAGTGACGTCAGCTTCCTCTCCGTCGTCGTCGTCGTCGTTGTCGTCGTCGTCGTCGCCGTCGTCGTTGTCGTTTGGCCGCTCGGAGTCTGACTGGTCGGCGTTGAACTGGCGGAGGAGGCGATTACCGTTGGCGGCAGCGTCGGCAGAATAACAGCGCTCGACACAATGGGCTGATGTTCCTCGCTAATGTGTCTCCTCAGTGCGTCTTGGCTAGGATAATCCTTCTCGCAAAGGGTGCAAAAAATAGTCGAGACGACCGTGGGTGACTTCTGTGGCGACGACGAGGCCTCGTCACCGGCGACGCCGTGCTCGGTCGCCATGTGAACGCGCAGGGCCGACCTTGAGTCGCATTCCCTGCCGCAGACGGCGCAGGATAATCCCTTGCCAGAATCCAAACCGTTCAGCTGCATGATCATAGTCTGCAACTTTTGAAGGTCCTCTGAGATCGAGTCGGTACGCTGATCAGAGATGTCCAAGTCGTACTCCTGCCTCGGCGAACCGCGTTCCTCGCTCTCGTGCATCTTCCTGCAGTGCGCCTTGTACAGACCGATAGTCTGGAAGCGAATATCGCAGGGCTTGCACTCGTGCTCCTCGCCGCCGCGGTCGTTGGACTCCGCACTCGTTGCGGTGGCCTCGGACACGATCAAGTTCAGCGGACTCGTCTGCACCTGGTGCCAAGTAGCGACGGCCGTGCCGAGATTGCCGGGCGACTTCTCGTTGTCCTGCACGACGATGCCGTGCCGTTTCATCTTGTGCGTGCGCAGGAAATACTTGTTGCAGTACTCCTTGCAGCAGATCTCGCAGAATGCTTCGGGATTTATGACGCCGAGGTGACGCAAAAGATCGGTGCTGAAACCGGAATCGCGCGCTCGCTGGATGGACTTGGGCGATAGGTGTCTCGGGGCCGGCATGAAGGTCGCGTCCTCCTGTTCAACGCCGTATTCCTGCTTCAGAAGCAACTCCATGCCGCTGGGACTGTCGCGCGGCGCCACTTGATCTTCCTCTGCGCTCTGCGACACGAATATCTGCTGGCCGTCCGTCTGCTGATCTATCGGAGACTCGTTGTGCGTTTTCTGCTTGTGCTTCCTCGTGGGATCCTCGTTGCGGAAACGTTTCTGCGGCGGAGTCGCCGACGGCTCCAGTTTCACGCTCGCGTTACCCGCGTGGAAGTTGGCGGCGCCGAACACGCCGCCGCCGACAATACCGGCGGAATCTATAGCCACGGCTGGCGTCGGCGAGTCTACGTAGATCCCGTGCTTGTTGGCCTTGTGCGTCTTCAGGAAGTACTTGTTACAAAACTCCTTGTTGCACATGTCGCAATACGCGTCCGGATTGAAAATCTTAACCGGCACATGACCGAGGGAGGATCTGGGAAGCTGAGGCTCGCTCAGGGAGAAAGTTGACAGGGGTAGGTACGGCGCGAGAGCGCCGGGGAAATTCGAGAGCGCCTGTAGGTTGGTCATCGTGACGATTTGATTGACCGGGCCGCCCGACCACGACTCATCGCCCTGCGGTTGCATCTGCGTCTGCGATTGCACGTGCTGCTGGCTACCGGACGCCAGCCACGTGGTCGCGAAATTCTTAACGCTTAAGAGACTAACGGGACCCTCGTTAGTCGGGTCCAGCTGCTGCGCCGGCTCTACCTTGATCGCGACAGCCGGCGTCGCTTGACTCGCGCCACCGTGCTCGCCGTCCATGTGGACATTGAGCGTTTCGTCGCTGTCGAAGAGCCGGCCGCAGTGCTGGCAGCGGAACTCGTTGTTCAGATTCTCGTCTTTCGACGACGGCGAGTGGTGATGGTGATGGTGGTGGTGGTGGTGACGGTGTTGTTGTTGCTGGTGGTGATGGTCGTTGCTCGGCAACGGCGATCGCGACGACGGCTTACCTTCGACGTCCTCGTCCTTGCGTTCGTCCTCGCGCGCGTCCTCGTGCACGCCCGCGAGGCCAGACGACAGTCTTACCGGCGTGGTCTGCTTCCGACGCTTCTTGGGCCCGGCGTCGGCGAGGTCGCCGCGAACGCGCTTCCAGACGTCGCGTTCGCCGCAGCTCGAACCGTCACTGTCCAGCTCCGCCGCCTCCGCCGTCGCCGTCGTGGGCTCGTGCGACGATGTCATGCCCGACGACATCTCGATGGATCTCACGCACCCAGCCCGCTCTTCCTCAGATGTTGCCCGTCTAGCAAGGAACAGACAAATTTCTCGCGTTTAAAAAGTTAAACGATCTAGCAATCGGTTATGTTTTCGTGACAAGGAAACCCGTGAAATCTCTCTACGAAACTTGCCACTTTCCTCAACATAGCACCGAAACGATATTTGCATCAATGAAGATCAAGTGGATGCACTATGGTCCGCGCAATTATTATTATATTCTGAATTTCGTTGATAAAACATTTGCGTTATTTTCTTGAATTCTACACGGAAACACCGGCTAAGACAAAAGATGAACATGTTGCCGTATAAATAGTAGGGGCATCTACATTGTTTTGCGTTGCAACATTCACTAAGTTTGCTGCGCAAAACGCATATAGTTGTCTCCACTACTCATCATACCAAGGTGGTTCTGACAACCACAGATATAGCTGTCCCAAATATTACTATTTATTGGGGTTGTGCCAATCTTAATTAGACACGTGGTAACCATATCGGTCTCTCCGTGTAAAATTTGTACTATCGACCCCTTTGAAGAAGCTGGCTTCATCCTTTTTTTCAAAGAAACTTCGCCGGCCATTAATTTAGGCTATTTTATCAAAACCTCTCTCAATGGAATAGCTAGTGTCGACTTTCAAGAATGTCATACAAGAACATCGTGGCACGACGACGGGGAGATGATTTCTCGCGCAAATATGAATTCCGAATGCGTATAGTTCCGTGAGCGCGGAGAATCGCGAATGCTCGTCGAAGGCGACATTAATTCGGTAGGCAGATCATAATGATTTCGCTCGGCCGATCTGAGGGGGGAAGGGAGAGTTGGGGTCGGCTAACGAGCACTTCGTGCCGCAGGAAGACGCACGCGAAACTTGACGAACGAGACACGGTGAACGAGACACCCTCGCTCGCGCGCGATGGACATGCGGTCTCGAAAAAGGGAGACGCGGGATATCAGACAGGAGGGAGAGGGGGGGGGGAAGCAGGGTGGACACCCTCTCATGACTCATATTATACGTCCACCCTACGTATTCGGGGAATTCGGAGGATAGTACGAATATGCATTTCAGAAAGCGCGGCGTAATTACTAATTCAGGATGACAGCCTTGTATCGCCAGTGTAATGTAAGTAGACGATACGCGGTCAGTGAACCCTGAACGATATTCTGCCATTGTGTCCGGCCGTGTGCGATGGACGCGTGAGAAAGATCGCGTGAGCCGTGCGTGCACAAGTTCGAAAACATTTCAACGCAATGGTTCTTGCGCGCGGGCTCCCTGTTATCTAATGCCGTAAAGGGAAAGGAAATTGTTGGAAAAGTTTGTCGGCCGTCTCTCTGCGATCTAACGCTTCGTATTTGACGCTTGTTATAAGCATGATTTGTAACTTTATTTAGTTAACTATTACGATCTGGATGTTCCTTTTAGATATGTCCAGCGATTGGATTAATCAATACGCATTAATTGGAATAATTATAATAAGCAAAGTTCACTGATAAGGTGTTCTTAAACATCTGCGCATATTTGCGCGAGAATCGCTCACGCAATGTTTAAGTGCTTTTAGCCGCCCGATAGTTGCGTGGAACGTTAAGATTACGACTGCAACCAACACTCCGTGAAATCCTCACCCGCGGGATACACAGGTCCTCGTGCTTCAAACGTCTTCGTTTCATGACCGATGAACCGCGGAGGCCGCTTCCGCGTCGGGACGTGACACCACGAGAGCCGCGCGTCGTCGTCGTCGTCGGCGTGAGTCACGCGCAGCCTCCTCACGCATCTCTCGCGATTACGAAAACTTCGCGACACTTTGCAAAACTCGAAACAGGGCACAGTCCACGACAGGGCAATCGCCTCGCCTTCTGGCCGAGGTCGCCGTTATTGGCACGTGGCGTCACCGAGGGTGAGTGAACTGCATGGACCTCGGATGTCGCTGGTCAGCCTCACCCTCTCCGGTGGGGAGATTTCCATTTTCGCGTCGTCGCCGGGCCCTCCCTTTCGCGGGAACGAGAAAACAGAGGTCGTCGCACGAAACTTCCTCATTCGATATCGATCTTTGCCGGGTCGATGAGGTCCGCGAAGAGAGACGCGAAATCTACGGTAGCGAAACTGACGGCAGATAACGTTAAGACGCGATTGCACGAGTGGGAATCGGAGAGAAATGCAAATGACAGCTTGAAACGTTTCGACGTAATCGAGAGATCGGGTATTAGCGTGCCTGATCTCCACGGCCCTCGGCAGCTTTGGATTCTGCCACGTTACTGTTAGGCATAGGTGTCCTATGAAGGGTCTGTCACGCCGTTTTCACGTCCCTACCACCTTCGGGAACCGCGATACAAATCTCCCCACCCGGCTCCGTCATCCCCGCATTTTGCTACATTCTGCGGGTAGATGATTTCCGGATTTATCTGAGCGCTGCAATAATAACACGTTTGCGTGGAGATAAAATTTTCGGGGAAAATTCAACGTTGCACCGTCTTCATTTCGTATGCGACATTGAGTATTAAACGACATTCGTTGCATTTGTATGCAAGAGAATAAATAAATATTAGCATTGTCAAACGGAATCTGATACCTAATAATAATTTTTGTGAATTTGATTGATTTTTGTGAACTTTATACATGCTGTCCTTATGCTTTTCAACCACGAGTCAATTATTATTTATTCTTGACACGTAATTTTATAAACAAAACTGGAAAATGTAACATGACATAATTAAATAATAACTAAATTGATGATCAATTTAGTAGTAGGTACTGGTCATAAAGTTATAAAAGTAATATACTGGATATGTTAAATTATTATATGAATTTTATACATATACTACATATTCTTTTATAGAAAATCGAAATTTGTTTTTCCGAGAATTTAATTAGACGCAATTTTCTTCGCGACACTTTAATATCTGACATTTAATTCAATAACAAGTGTCTACGCGCAGGTGCTATAAAATAGATGAGCTTATTTTTATCAGAAGATATTAAACTTCGCTAAATTGAACGAGTAGAAATTGCGAAGCTATCTGAAGGTGTCTCGCGATAAAAGATTTATCGGTGAAAAATTATAATACTGTTCGGCACATCAGATAAACGCGAAGATCTTTGTGCTTTGATAAAGATTTGTGCTAATAATACATGGTACTATAGCGCGCGTTTTATCGCGTCGTATAATTAGAAATCTGTAAAAAAAAGTTTTCCGTGATAATGGATGCAGGGAGAGATAAAGCTGGTCTCATTCTTTCGCTTCTCAGTCGAAGTCCATTGAAATAGAGATGTTTTTTTTTTTTGATGATACAGTGATGTGCAAGATGCATATTTCTTCCTTCTATCTTTACCCCACGTCTTACAACTTGCACGTAAGAAGAATTGCTTATTGATGTCGGATGAGAAACGTGCTGCTCAGAAAGCGACGATGCATCCTTAGCTGTTTTGACAGGTGGTTCGAGAAGGCGATCTAATGATAATTCGATCAATAGTTAGCACGAGTAACGATCTAAGCTATCACAATATGTTTGTAAAGAAATAAAATTATATGAAGTAAAGGAGACTCCGGCTGCGTTTGTATGAAAACAATGCGAAACTCTCAAGAGCCAATAACAAATAAGCATGGATAAAAAATAAAAATAAAATAATTCCTTTTATATATAAAATAAAATTTATATATTATAATAAAAATAAAAGTATTCCTTATCACAGCTGTAATAAATTTTTTTTAATTGAATTGTAAATTTGCAATTTTATACAGCTTGAATCTGTTTTTTAATTTGTATAAATTACATTCGCATAATTTTTTAATTCACTATGCTGAGTGTTCTACGTCTTTTCTCTTGTTCTTGCAATTATTTATTATATATTCAAAATTAGTATTTTTTGTTCTGGCAATTATATTATAAACTGCCTCTGTTTTAGGGGGTGTATTCTGAAGATATATTAAAAATTCGAATCTACATTTAAAATGTAGCAGTAAAACGATTTACACAACGATCGTCTCGCAGAATTGTTTTTCGCTTTCGGTTTGTCTGAAAAGAACAGCGGTTATTATTTGCAGTTGGTGCATGCGCGCGTGTCGACGGGACGGAAATTGGATTATGCGAGGGTTGTAAAGCAATCGCTGACGCACGTCAGAGTGGGAGATAGGTAGAGGTGGAGAACGGGTCAGAACCGAGGGTTCCGCGGAACCCGCGTATTTCTCTGCGCAACCTTTGACAGATTTTCCAAAAATACGCGTAAATACGCCCGTATGTTCGCGCGAGGGCAGAAAGCTCCGACATTGTGGAAACTCACTGTCGAAATTGGATGAATGATAGAGAGGGGCGGTGATCCGACTCGATGGGGTAGTTTGCCGTTCGCGAAAGAATATCGGCGAAAAACACGTCATCAGAAGTGAAGAGTGAAGGGAGAGAGAGAGAGAGAGAGACTTATTGTAACTATTACATGTATACCGCGTTCGCCAGATTTTCTCCGACTTGTGTGGGTGGAATGCACGAGTGCGTGGGTGTTAAACGACAAACAACGTTGCAACCCTGCGAAATAATGGATGAACACGTCGAGGGTATTTTCGTAGGGCGTTCTCGTGGCAGCCCGACCGATGACGGTAAAATTCATCAGCGGTTCAATAATTCTAATAAAGTGTGGCTGGGCGCGAGAAACGAGGCGTCACGTTGCATCGAAATGAAAGAGCTAAAGAATCTTACGCTTCGAGACACGTAAAACTGCGACTGTACGTTACAACCCGGCAATCGTTGATCGCTCCATTTTTTAATTATAAAATTTCACGACTATGAACGTATCGACGTATCGATAGACCTCTTGTCTTTTACGGCAAGCGCCGCTGAATGAATTGCGAGAAGCCAAGTGACCTGGTCACTCTTTCACGTACGTTATACCTATTTAAAATTGAATGACGCAATCTAAATTTTATTTTTACATTTTATCATCCAAAATTTAATTTGTACTCGTTCAAAGGAATTTGGCTCATGCGACAAATAG